CTCAAAGCATGCTTTCTTAAAAAAAATCAATGTTCAATCTCACTTCAAAAACTCTTGTCCAGCTGTGTCCAACTGCATGTTGCGAAGTTTGTTTCGAGCCTTTTCGGCTTTGTCGCCGTTCAATTTCTCCCACCAATCGCGAATCTATCAAATAGGAAAATGTAATAGAGACTGTTATCACGATCGCTGTTGACACTCTATCACGTAACGAAAAAAAAGACAACAAGACACAAGACACAACAAAAAAATACATGAAGAGCTATCCAGCTACTATGTACAATCCCAAAATCTCAAAAAAATTTGCTAAAACTTCGAGTACAAGCGTTATTCGAAGTCCTTCACACGAATGTGACATCCATTTTGGATTCCCCAATTCGGTGCAACCGTTCTATCAAAATAGATTTAGAGACAAACTGTACACTCCTACAGTTGATATCACCCAATCAGTCGGTATCCGACTCCTGCAATCCACCATTGGCTGTTTTCTTCCTCAATCGATCACCACTCGAACACCATTGGTAGAGCAAGGCAGGCGCAGGCGTGAGATGTTCCTCGATAAGCAGGAGCAGGCCCTCGTCCACCCCTTCATGTACACCAAAATATGAAGTCATCTCCAATCGCAGCCTGACTGGAGAAGGCCTATGGAATTCACGTCACCTCCAAACAGCTGCGAAACTTCTTGTATGGAGCCCATGGACAGCTACCTGGAGACCAGCACTCTTGATCTGGAAGACTCCAACATCGAGCAGCTTCGACAACGTCAGGGTGGTCGACAGGGCGGAAAAATCAACGACCCAAACGACGCTGAACTCAGGCACCGAATCACGGTCGCGTGGCAGAATCTCTCGATGGCGCTCGTCCAGAAGGCTGTGGCGGAGTATCATGATAGTGTACAATGTGTTGTTGAATATGATGGTGGAAATGTCCAGTCAGAATTTGATAAGTATAACTTATAGCGCTTCGAAAGTCAAGGAAGAAAAGTATCTTTTTTCTATTGCCCTCCGCCCTGTATACCCCCAATATGCCGCGAGCAGCCAGAAGTGAGAGGGCGCAGACAAGTAGTGCGGATGGCTCTGGTTATGTGCGTGGCTGGCAGAGCAGACGGAATTGGAAGACATACAACGTACCATAACCTCACCCCTACCCCAGCTACGTTTTCGGGCACCTTTAAGCGAGGACAAAGACCTACACTTAGGAGGGTACAGCTTGCCTTTAATCATGCTCACTGGGGCCACGTGGCATCTTGGTCACGAATATGGTATTCATTCGTACCGCCACGACTGGCCCCACCAAATTATTTGCAAACTTGCATTTTGCGTTAGCTGCGGATCGTGATCTCGAATATCACACTCACAAAACCGTGGCGCGAAGTTGGCGCAGGCACCATCGTGATGCCAAATGGCGTTGGCGTCCAATAATTGGTGAAGAACCGGCTAGCGTGGCGCCAAACCCAGCCTCCCTGACACGCCCCAGCATCCACAGCGAACAAGACTACATTTATAATAGGGGTGCTGAAGAACCCTTATGTACAAATTAATATCGCATTGGGTCAAAAAGTGGTGGCACCAGAAAGGAATATCACATTCGTGATCGAGGCACTTGTTCACCCCATAGACGAATGTTGAGCTATTTTTTCAGTTTCTGAGGTTCCAGTAGCTGAATAACGTCAAATGAGAACCTCCAAATAACCTACCTTTCCTAAAACAGTAAGCTTCAAACGGAATGAGTCATGCCTTGATTCAATGCAGTACTCTCCAAAGGCTAATAACAGAGCGATAATAAGTCCCGTAATGAGAACGTAGAAAATACCTTAAAAGGGAACCCACTTGTGACGTCTCTTGCAATTGCAGCAGTGTTTGAATAGTTTATTTCATTATTTATTTATTTACTTATGTACGCACAGGTGCGCTTTTACAACGCTTAATTTATGCTCAATCGAATAAAAACTACGATCTTACCTAGAGCTAAGGCAGCGTTCAGACTTCGCGACGGCAGCGCTTCAGTCGCGGGTTCAACGCGATTGATGCAGTGTGAAGCATGCGCATCGATCGCGACGAGCGCTGCGACAAGCGTTGCCGTCCGAACGTCTGAACGCTCTGCCTAACTGAGGAACAGACAATCGTTAGATAGTAGAAAGCTCTCCAGTCGTCGGAATCCGGCCTAAAAGATTTCAAATAAAATCGTTCCTGGGTAACTCACCATAATCCCCATGTCCACATTTTTGAGAACTAGGCCAGGTTTGGCGTAAAAAATCTGATGTTCTCTCCAATGTTTTCATTTTCAGACATATGGGTGATTGCGAAGGGTCATAAGATTCCTAAGAAAGATTATGAAGTATTCTCCCAAAGGGTTCATCAGAGTGGGTTGTTCGGAATATCGCAGTTTTTTAGGGTAACATCTTCTATTTTGTTTACCAAGGCCATCTTCACATTACATTCTTTCTCCAACTCTCATAAAAGTTCAAAACTTGGACCCAAACAACTTATGGAATTTGCATATTGCAACTCAGTTGCTGATATTTTCCATTCACAGCATTTTGCTATATATCTAGGTAGTAAAAGTATTTCCAATGTGCCAATCGGGGTAACTGCATGTGCGTTGTGTGGAAACACATGGGGACTGGTCGCATTGGCCCGCTGGAGGAGGGGGGAGGTCGCATGCTTTGAAAAATTGCTTGTTTAGGAGAAAAATTTTCCCAGTTTTGACTGTATCGCAGTTTCTCCCGTTCATATGTGTATATCCAGTTTCCTGCGCTCAGGCAAGAGTTTTAGGGCGAGACAATTTCGGGAATTCCGGAAAAAGTGTAGATTGGGGAACATGTGGAATGGTAGGCTAGGTGTCTATGCTGTAAGGAAAGGGAGGGTCGTAGGGGGAAGGGGTCACCGACTTCTGTTTCAGGGGGATCGCACCGAGGGCCTCTTTCAGAGGGGGGGTCGTACTCACACCTACCATTTCACACATCACGATGCTGTACCCTGTGTGCCAAATCCAGCCTATGCGATGGTTGTGGAAAGAGATCCCAACCGAGCTCTAGTACTTTTCGCCGTGCTCCGAAGGCTAGGTGTGGTCCCGCGTCATCCCGGTGGAAATTGCCTTATTCTGGACGATTTTGAGATCCCGAGTCGGCCCCCCTTTGCTTTGGTCATGGTAATGGTTTGCCTCTACCTTGCTCCATTAGCTTTTGGTGCACTAGCGCTATTAAGCCCCTAAATAAATAAATTAGTCAAGGTTATTATAGCTGTCTGGATAGTCTGCCTGAGTTTTGACAAACATAGTGAAAACTAACCAAAAACACTTTGAGGAGGAGAAGCCCGAGACTTTTCTGCTTGTGGGGAACAGGACGGACCTTCTAAAAATGGACCAGTTGTCGAAAAGAAACTTGAACTAACGAAAACAATATGCACAAACCTCTCATATCACGCCACCATTTACTTTTGAGCGCTTCGAGTTTTGTCCGCTCCTGTAGCTGAAGAACCGTCCGGGATAAGATGTCTCGTAGTGGCGATCCTTTCGGGACTGCTATTCCGTAACCCTAAAAGCTTAGCCTTTTTGACGACAAACGGTTTCGAAACTGAATATGTCCGAGAGCTCACTTTGGAGTCGAGTAGTCCGCCAATGCTCTGCAGCTGACAGTCTCTTTCCATGTAGTATTCCAACATCGATGACTCCATCATGTAGGCATAATTTCCAGCTTTAACACGAGCGATTCCTTCCTGAAAAGAAGCTGTTACTGCTTGAATTGCCGTGCTGATTGAGCTTCCCGCGACTAAACGGTAAGAGTAGAAAGAAAGGTTCTACCAGGTACTGGAATGCTCAGTATCGCATGCTGAAGTTTCTTGGTGTTACTTCCTTAGCGTGAAATTCCAATATTTTGAAGAATTTTTCGTTTTTATCACTAATCGATTGTTCGTTACCACTTACTATCAAGGCTTCTATTATTTCCTCCTAAGTATGTGTGGGGCTAACGCATTTGGAGGAGAGAATGACGCGGCAGCGAGGCTTCATCTGTTCTTTGGCCCGGAACTATCCGTGTTTGAAGCGGCCCTTAAAACGTTCCCAGCACACTCTAAGTGAGAAGTGGATCAGTTTTGAATAGAGGTGAGGTATATTGCCCGTTGGTAAGTTTGTCCAAAAGCACGGCTTTTGCTTTTAATCCGCCTAGTTTGACAGAATCCTATTACAATAACGCCGATTTAAGGTTCTACGGACTACTCAAGGCACTCAAAGGCGTATGTTTTGGTACCTACATAACCCAGTCTTATATTCCTTGGACCACCTCGATCACGCCTGCGCTATGTGGATACATTACACAGAAGTGCCCTGTTTTCTGAAACTGGTCTAGAAACCATGAAATCAGTTCTTCTCCTCGAAGATTTATCGTTTTGAAAAGAAATCGTGCGAGCGGCTTGGTCCATAAAAAGGTAGCAACAAATTTCGTCAATGTTTGCACTGTGACCAGTGAACATCGCTGTTAGTGAACGCCAGAAAATGAAAATTTTATATGGAAAGAGTGGTTTCATCACCGAAAACCCTGTCTTTTCTAATACCAATTTCAGATGACTTTCTGTCGGCATAGGAGCAAATGATATACACGGTATGATACGTTTCGAAATGAAACTAGCTTCATTTTAAGAGGCCATGAATAGGACACGCCATCCCGTTGCACTGGAGCATGTCGTTTCGCCACATCTTGCGATATGGGTCATGAAATTCGTGTACCCTTTTTATCCAAAACTTTTTTGACAACAGAGTTTCTGAGTCATTCTGACCATCTTCTTTTTGCGGAACCATTTTTTCTTTCTGTTGTGAGTTGTTGTTGAAATTTAGTGTCACCTACAAGTTTTCATGGTTTGAACTGCCATAACTTTCTTCATGTGCGACCTTTTGTGAAATCGAAAACAATTCTGGACTCACTGAAACTTTCCTTTTTTCGAAGCGAGTGGCCTTCCTTATATGATAAAACCTGCGCAGTTCTGAGGATTCCGAGTGTGAAGCTGTTCATGGCCAACTACAGGCACGATTACCAGTGTTCCGCGCGTGACTACTTCAGCTGAATGGAAAAAGCCCGAGGAACAATCCATTAAGTTGATCTGCGAAAGGCCTCTGAGCATTTGGCATACCGCATGCGCAGCTTACCACTTTCTTCACTTGAAAGGGCGAGATAGGACGGACACAGACGCGTAACCATTGTGCACCTGTGTCTTTTGCGTCTGCAAAAACAGTGGCCCACATGCGGCGTTACGCGCAGTGCATTGTGGTCTGGACGCTCGTAGGGTAATTTTTTATGCCTTTCCGTGGATACACGTTTTGAAGGTGTCAGTGGCACTCCATTCAAGGCAACATGGATTTGTGCGCTTGAAATTCAGCAGTGATTCAGTCGATTTGGTGCAAAAGCATTGTTTACCGTAATCCCATTTTACGTGCAAAGAGTTCAAGAACTATTTCCTAATGTCGGAGTTTTTGTTTTTCGTTTTTATTTCTGATATTAAGTGGCATTTAGTACTGGAAGATCCGAATAAACGATCTTAGAGCCATTGCTGCCCAGAGGCTGCAGGGTGTCGAGTTGCCATTAGGTCCGGAGAAGGAAATGAGGCTGTGCGGCTGTCAGGGAGTGTGCTTATTCATGATGTTCTTGAGGTTTCGTTTGCTTTTTTCTTCACTTGAGGAGTCACTTATTAGCTGCTGGTTCATAATCGTACAGTCACTACCAGTAATACCTGATGGCGAAAATTGTCTCTAAGTATGGTTTTAAAGAGCAACTTCGTGTCACGTTATTGGAAACTAATTCATTGGGCGCTGATTAGCATCACGTCTGTATTGCGATATGCATCCGATAGCCACACAGAGGTGTTGGAAAGGTGTAACTTACCAGTAGGGCTTCTAAGTGCAAGCAGATGAGCTCCTATGGTTTAGAAAGTATACTGTGTTTTATTTATTTATGAGCGGATGCGTGAGAAATGTAAATTGTGTGAGAATATTTCCCAGCGCCATCCATTAGATTCGTGCATGGTGAAGACCTTCAGACGTCACTGGAACATTTTTGAACTATGATAGTTTCATAATAATGTCTGCTGCTCCATGGTACAGTTCGCGCCTCAAGAGTTTTCGTGGGAACGCTGAGTTAAAGGCAGTTGG